GCCTCTCCCCGCCCTCCGCTCCTTTCTCTCCTTGCCTCCTGGTTCTACAGCTTTGCAGGACCGGCCCGTGCCTGTCTAAATAGCCTCACGCTGTTCCCCTATCGAGTCTCAGTTTCCCCACCAGTTCCTTCCGATGACCCCTCCGGGATGCCTCCCTGGACTGGAAACGAGCCTGACTCTGTCAGTACCGCCCCCCCCCCCGTCCCCACTTCTGAACCCCGTGGCATCTGTTCTTGGCCTCAGGTTATTTTCCAGCACCCCAACCCGGATTGAGGGGATTTGATGGTGGGGAAGGCTCTCCTTCCAGGCCTAATGCTGCTGCTGTCTGTAGTCCTCCGTATTGAAATGCCACAGCTCAAAGCCTTGGAAAGAGGAGACCCTGGGCAGAGCAGCGCCTCGCAACACCCTCCCCCAGAGCCACAAAGCCTCCCTGCGCAGTCTCCACTGGATGTGACACCTCCCAGCACCCCAGCTCCCCACCCTGGCCCCCTCTTCCCTCAAGTGCTTTCTGAGTTTGATTAATGATGCAGCTCTATCATTAATTTTGTTCTAATTTTTTTTCAGAGAAACATTGCAAACCTACTATGTCAGAAAATACAGTAGAAAAATAGATTACAGTAGAAAAAATATGTCAATACATATAACTGTGGAAACCACCTTTTCGATGTCTAAAAATGTCTAAAAAGCCAAGGATATGTTAAGTTGAGGTGAGAGGAGCAGAATGTATTTCAATAGTGGCAGTGGTTTTCTCTGGATAGTGACAAACTTTTTGTTGTTGTTTTCTGAGATGGGGGTCCCATTATGTAGCTGAGGCTATCCTTGAATTCGCAGTAATCCTACCTCAGCCTTCCAAGTGCTGGAATTAGAAATTGGTTTTCTTTTTTTTTTCTTTTTTTTTTTTTTCAGTATTTTTACTTTTCCCACAGTAAAAGTGTATAACTTTTTTTCAAAATAAAAGAAAAACAAAAAAGATCTCTCACAGTCCTACTAATTTGATAAAGCCACTGCTATTGTTTTGACTCCTTTTCCCATCCAGTTATTGTATATAGGTATAATTACATCATGCCCACCATCCTGTTCCCTGCTTCTTTTACTCCATGACATATGTTGATTAGACTTCAAAAACATAGCTTTTTAAACTGGGCGTGGTGGCACATACCTGTAATCCCAGCACTTGGGAGGCTGAGGCAGGAGGATCACTGTGAGTTTGAGACCAGCCTGGGCTACATAGTGAGTTCCAGGTCAGTCTCAACTATATAGCAAGACCCTGTCTCAAAAAAAAGCCAAAATAAAACAAAACACACACACACACACACACACACACAAAAAAAAAAAACATAGGGTGGGGGCTGTGGCTCAGTGGTACAATGTTTGCCTAGCATGTGGAAGACCCTTAGGTTCAATCCCAAGAAATGAAAAATAATTTTCAATGGCTGCATGATGTGCTATTAAGTGGGCATACTGCAATATACTTCACTTTACTCTAATCACCAACCACATAGATTTGTATCTTTGTTATTATAACCCTTTCAGACTGTAAGCATCGGTTGTTCTAAGAACTCTAGCAGGCCCCCAGATGTGACGTTAGGCTGTGTAAATACATCTCTCAGATTGTTTGCCACAGATTTCCAGGCACGTAGCCATTTTCGTGTTTTAGGCTCCTTCCTATTACAGAGTCTGCACTGACATGTGACTGAGTCAAAGACGGTGCGAAAAGTGAATCATTAGTTTTCATTGAGGAAATGTATTAAAATTCACTGATGAAACTATAAAGATATTTGAGGCTTTTGAATTTGATGGCTTTAGAATCCCTTAGTTCCTCCTCGTGCTTTGAAGATTTTAGCACCTGGCTCATTGTCACTCTTTTTCCTCCCACTTCTGTCAAATTCTTGGTAATTCTTTGTGCATGTATGCGCGCGTGCAGATGCACAAACACTGAGGATTATTTTTGGTGATTCCTTTTTTTTTTTTTTTTGGTACCAGGGATTGAACCTTGCGCTTTCAAGGCAGGCGCTGAAACCACTGAGCTAAATCCCCAACTCTGGGTGATCCTTAATGAGTCAATACACCACAGATATTTCTTCCAATCACAGTGATAGATTCTTTGCAACAATGGCTTCTATATTTCCTCCTGCCCCATATGACCCATCGCAATGGTTTTATGCTGCTCCCGTAAGAGTTCAAATCTAGCCTGGAAGTCCTTGATCTGGGCTGGCCTGATGACTGGCTTTCACAAACAGGTTTTGGTGACAATGATGGTGTGAAGCCCTAGGGTCTAGGTATGGAAAGACCTTGGCGTCTGCCCCTTGCCCTCTTAGAACACTTCCGGTATCATGTGCAGAATCCAGGCTGGATGATGAGCAGCCCCTCGGAGGAGAACGAAGCACATCTGCCAAGATCACTGGGCAGGGAATTACTCGGCCCCTTCAATCATTTGTGACACATGAGTGAATCTAGGCAAGACTGGCAGCCTGTACTGCCAAACTACAGCAAATAAGCAATGACTGTTATAAGCACTAAATTTGAGGGCAGCCATTCATACGACAATAGCTACCTGATAAAAGCAGCTTCTCATCTCCCCCGCCTCCCCGACCCTGTTGCTCCTGATCCCGCGTCTCCTTTTTTTGGGGACAAGGTCTCACTATGCAGTTAGTGTAGGCTGGCCTTGAACTCACTAATTAGCCCAAGCTGGCCTCAAACCTGCAGTGATCCTCTTTCCTCAGTCTTCCAAAAAGTATGGTGGGCCTTAGAACCATACCACAGATCCTACCTCCTTTTCCCTGTCCCCTAGCCCCTCACCTCCATTGTTATAATCCACCCTTATATGTGCTTCACTCCCTGACGGCTCCCTCCTCCCATGATCATGACTTGTTCCTCTTTCTCTAGCCTTCACCGTCTGTGTCCTCACCCCAGGGTCCCTGTACCTGGGCACCAGGTCCATCCCTGCTCACCGGAACACCAGGGCTCTGAAGTTATTCCCAGCCCTGTGGCATCATCCATTTGTGTCATCTCTACAGGATCCTGTTCTCAGCCTTTCTGTGTCTTAAGTAAAGAGCATCCCCCTGACCCTGATTTTCTTTCAGCTGCATTTTTCGGCTCCCTTTGCCAAAAACCCTTCAAAAGTATTTGTCTATCAGCTGGGTGTGGTAGTGCACACCTGTAATTCCAGCACTGGAGAAGCTGAGGCAGGAGGATCACTGCAAGTTTGAAGCCAGCCTGGACTACACAAAGAGTTCAAGACGAGTCTAAACTATGTGATGAGACCCTGTCTCAAAAATCGATCAATAGGGCTGGGGATTTAGCTCAGTGGTTTCATTGCCAGTCCTCACAAACACAAGGTCCTGAGTTCAATACCTGGCACCCCCCCAATCAATCAAACAAAAAGTAAAATTTAAAACCCAAAAGTATCTATCTTTGCTATCATCACCTTCTCTCCTTTCTCCTCTTCTCCTGTCCCCTCCCTTCACCTCTTTCTCTC